CTATTACTGTGATATTCACTATACAGAAAGTCAATAATTACCGCAAACTTGAGTTTTTATATTTAAAAGATGTGATTTTAATCTTCTAGTTCAAATCTGAAATAAAGTGCTCATATCTGATCATGTATTGTGTGTCATTAAAGGATGTATAATACATATATAATCAAACAAATGACTTATTCATTTACAGCAGTGTGAAGGCCAGTTTTGAGAGCACTGATTTTAACACATGGACGACAAAGAAAGACAAAGAGAACAGTCAGGTGGATGAAGCGAAAAGAGAGAGGAAAAATAAGAGGACAGACTCAATAATGAGCTATCACTATATTCATCACGCAGCACCTGTGATGAATTACATTATGCAGATCACACTTCTCAGATCTCTTGATGACTTTAAAGACAGTGTAGCACTCGGAGCCCAAACCGATGATTAGCGCTGCTGCTTTTGGAATAATACAAACGCAAGACGTGGCTTTTGCTGTCTTTTCGGTTTTGCGACGACAGTTGCCAAAACACTTGTCTTCCAATAAGGATAAAGTTTATGAATAAAATACCACACACTCTTTTGATATAGCGCTTGTCGGTCTCCACTGCACCTGGGCACTTACAAGCAATGACCAGTACTCTAATGATGGAGGAATACAGTCTTGTGAGCTGGCAACCAAGATGAAAGGCAAGGGTGGGCTGGTCAGAGAGAACAAAGCAATGTCGTCTCAGCCATCTAAGCACATCTCACAATAGAAACAGAGTACCACGGCTATATTTTTGTCTGTCAACATCAAACAAAACAATATTTTAATGACAGTAACGCAACAAGCATATGGTGGTCTGTCAGCTTTTAAATTGTACTTGGATGTCCTTGAAGTTGCATTTTCAGAGAGATTGTAATGGCGTAGGGGTGATTTGTGAGCGTTTAGGTATTTATCATAACATCAGTCCTTAAAAACAAATTACCATGGTAAGCATAATTTGCATCAACATTCCACTACTGTTGTTTCCTATTTTTTTTATGGCGTTTATGTTAAATATTATTGTAGTAAATTTACTACGACTTATGGCCTTACATAAGGGAATAACAGATAAAATGCAAAGTAAGGTGATTAAAAAAAAAAATCCATGTAGACTACATTTGTATGTCGAAGATTTACAATTAACCTCTCTGTCAGCAACTGTTGATTGCTATAAGATCATTTTCGATTTACAATGGAAATAAATGTAAATTAAGTCCGCCTTCCAATGTCTATGTTGCTGCCTCTCTGAAGATTATATGATTGAGGGCTCGATGCCTAAGATCTTAGGGTAGGATGGGGGAAGATGCCCCAAATGTGAACAATGTGGATTTACTTTTAAATTGTAACATATTTAGATATAGGCTATGTTTAGCATGTGCAGGATGATGATGCATCCGCCAATGTGTTTTTATAGGAAATAAATAGAAACATTTGCTAATTTAGTGGTTATAGCACAACATGTCAAAAATCAAAAGAGTGGTAAGATGGCGCCAGAAAGGTCATCTTACCTCAAGAGTCTAATTTTAACTTTTTACTTCAAAATAAAGACTATAACTTTTACTCCACAATTCTGAAAACATTAATGTGTCCACAAATCTCTCATGAGAAAATAGACACACACAAACTATTATATTTAATATAATACGATGTGTCATAGATCACAATTTAGATCACTTCAAAACTGTTTCTGACTAAATTTCACAAATGTTAATATTCAGATGAAATGACGAAATTAAAAATAGCGTAGCCATTCATCAAAAGTGCTGAGATGAGGTTTTGTTTCATCTTTGGTCGGGTGAAAAAGGTCATCTTACCCCCTACCTACCCTAAATGTTTTTGTGTCTACAGACAGTGCCCAAAATTGCTATTAGGGTTTTTTTTTTGTGTGAATTGACAAATCTTTGAAATGAAGATTCACTTAGTCTCTTCCATTTGAATCACGTCACACTTTCATGACTGACTTTAAACGTTTTTTTTATAACAGCTTATAAAGTTTTTTTCAAGATATGGAAAAAACAACAACAATAGCAGCCTACGTTAGTAGGCTATTCGTTCAGTAGGTCCAACTGATGAAATTCTCTGCAGAGTGCTAGACCTATATTTCTTAACCCTTTGACGCGTACGATCCATAGGTACGATCACACCGGTGTGATCAGTCTTGGCTGGTCCCTGGAGCGTACGATCACACCCAGTGTTGCCAACTTTTTTCAAAGGAAAGTAGCTAAGGCCTTCCCTAAATGTCGCTAGATGACGTCATACGTCAATTAGCATATTAATGACGTCATCGCGTCGTACTTGCGTTCTGTCAGCCTAGTGCGTTTTCTCTCTAAATGAATGCTCTATTCAATATAATATAGCCGAATGTCAAATAAAGCTGTTCTCATTTCCTATTTTTTTGTTGTCAGACAATTGAACGAGTAGCTATAATATAGTGAGTGATTAAATTTTTTATAGGCCTATGTGTAGTTAGGGAACCGCATGAACTAAGCTCTGATAGTGAGTGTTACAAGTAATAAGCACAAGAAAATAAATAAAATTAAAATGGTCAAACTAAATTCTTTAAATATAAAACAAAAGAAAAGCAGATTAGTGATAAGTCCATGGAAAAACACTGCTCATTCGCGTCTGTCAGCGGCCGTGCGCTCCTCTCAGCCATTCTAAACAGAGGAGACGCAGCTAGAGAGAGTGACGACAGGGAGAAAGCAAGACCTCGCGCTCGCAGGACAGGACTGGCAACATTTGGAGGTTACTGAGGTTTGTCCAAAAAGTCGCTAAAATTGTCGCTAGTCGCTTTTTTGTAAAAATGTCGCTAAAGGGGTCTGAAAAGTCGCTAAAAATAGCGACAAAGGCGCTAAGTTGGCAACACTGATCACACCGGTGTGATTAGAACGTCAGTGCATCACGTGATCAACTGCTAAATTCAAACGTGCTTTCGCGCGTTGGCTGGCGCTGAGCCAGAGACGGACGCACTCAGTGCTGTCATATATCACAACTATTGAGTATTTTAAACCACATAATGTTTATTTTAGGTTTCAGACATTTAAATACACATAAGTACTAGCAAAACAGTGATTTGGAATTAGTAAAATAGACACTGATGTCTATAGAAACGGCAACAATAATCATTTCCATTATAATAAGGAGAAACGTTTTATTCATATCAGATACACATTGTGTAAGTAGCTTTACATTTTACCCTATTCTTCTCCTAGTTCACCGGCCACTTACTTTCATGTATTTCGTGAGAAACAACAGATCCGATTCTCTGAACTGTGAAACAAACTAACATGGCGCCGCCCATCGCGCATACAGCTCAACTAGCGCTATCGTTATAAAGATGTTTAAACAACAAAACACATCCACTTGCACATATTTGACAATCGGAATATCAGTGTTTCATGGTATAGCTAATACATTTGTGAATATTTTGAATACAAAAGGAAAAAAGACATAAAAGCAGATCATCATTCATTCAGCTCTGTATTGTGGTTGCGCTGTGTCACGTGACAAGAAATGACGCGTCACTATGGAAACATTAAAGTGACAGGTTCTAAATAACGGTCGCCTTGAAAAACTCACGCTGGGGGGTCAGTTAGAATATTTTAAACTTACGTGTGAAAGGGTTTTAAACAACCTCAGTAGGATATATTTTAGTAGACATGCACGTGAATAAAAGATAAGACTTGATTCAGTCAAGAATTGGTTGAGTGAACGAGTTAGTGATTCTTAATACACCAAAAGACTATTGCGTAGGCTAATGTAGAAAAGACCACAGAAGGAATCAGTGAAAGAACCTTTTTATGATTTAAAGGATTCTCAGTGGAATGAATAAAAATCCCTACAACTGATACCTAGATAAAAGCTCAGCTCTCTCTCTCTCTCTCTCTCTCTCTCTCTCTCTCTCTCTCTCTCTCTCTCTCTCTCTCTCTCTCTCTCTCTCTCTCTCTCTCTCTCTCTCTCTCTCTTTTGTCACTACTCCTCGGCTGCATCATTCAATCACGCACTGCCAAGGATTCACACTTGCCACGAATAGACGGCGCCTTTTAAGTTTTAAACTTAACGTTTCCACCTCTTTTGATTCTTTCAAATCGCTCCATTAACACAGTGATGTTTGAAGGACTTTTGGTGACAACAACGTGCTCTTAATCAAAAAATACATATAAAATCAGGTAGGTAACCTTTAATTTCACCACTTTAAAAGTGTCTTTGCGATAACCAAGTTATTCCTGATCACTTAAATAAGGAAAATGAGACTGACATTTCCTAATAATTGCAGCCATGTTTGTTGTTGATTATCAGGGATCCAATTCATTTAAATAGCTGTTGTCTTAATAATGGCCTTTAAAAACCAAATATACAATTAAAACATTTAGAATATGTGTATAATAAAACATAATGTTCTATTCTGTAGTGTGTGCTTGATCATTTTTTTATTTACATTTTTAAATGGTCAGGATCTAGTAATCTTGTAAATAGCCTGCACTTACAGTTTAAGGGAATTTCCTTCTAATACCTTTCACTGAAGTGGCAATAAATGTTTTTCTTTTTTTCAGCCTGCTTTTTAAGGATGATTTCACATGAAGACCACAGCATTATTACTGACTGGTGTGGCACCAGCTATACTTGGATAGCGAGATGGGGAAAGATAACAATCTTGCGCTTGCCTGCCTACTGTTACCTGCTAACCCAAAAGGTGTATCTTGAGGTTTTATTTCCTGAACCATGTGTCATTTTACCTGATAACCCTGCTTTTTACGATGGTCTCTGTCTCAGTGCCACTGGAGAAAGTGATGCGGTTATGAATCCAGCAGAATGTTAATGGACATGAAGAACTTTGTCCAGTACACACTTGTCCTTCATTTTTTGAACTGAATCTGCAAACATATGGTTTTTCATGTGACTATTACACCTCTTCTAAAGCCCATCGTGGTGACGTTTATGTGTGCGTTTTGAAAGTGAGTGTGTGAGAAAGTGTTTTCTTGTGTCTAGTGTCTGTGTGCATGTTTGCCTGTTCTTGTCATTTCCTGCTGATGATCAAGTCATGCCACGTGGAAGAGATGTCAGCAACAGCTGTTGCCTCCCACTGCACCTGAATGAAGACAATGCCCGCTTTGGCTTGTTGGCAGCCCTCATCGTCCTCTACCTGCTGTGTGGGGCGGTGGTGTTCTCCGCTCTCGAGCATCCCTCTGAGCTGCAGGCTCACAAGCGCTGGGATGAACAGTTGGCCAATTTCACAGAGCAAAACAGCATAAACCTGAAATCACTGCAGGTCCTCCTAAGGCAATATGAGGAGGCCTTTGTGGTTGGGATCCGTGTGGACAAACTTAGGCCCCGCTGGGATTTCTCAGGGGCCTTCTACTTTGTTGGTACAGTAATCTCCACTATTGGTGAGCTACTTTTTAATTAGTTCACGTATTCCCTGGTAATTGAACCCATAATCATGGCATTGTTAGCACCATGCTCTACTGCTTGAGCTACAGGCATGGTTATAATTGTTTACTAAAACCATAAAAAAAAAATCAAACTGAAATCAATTAAAGTTTTAAAAACCTAAACTTATTTTCAACTAGTTGCCAAGGCAACATTTATTTATTTTTTGTTTAAAGTTGAAGTACTAAACTAACTAAAACTATATAAACGAAAATTAAAACCTAACACTTAATATAAACTATATACTGTAAAGTAGGGATGGCCCGATACCATTTTTTTTCAAACCGATACGAGTACGAGTATTTACATTTGTGTACTTGCCGATACCGAGTACCGATACCGATATTTCTACCGCAAGAGTAATAGGCTCCCAGAAAAGAAGACGACTATTTTAGAACACAGGTCAGAAGACTGTTTTTATTTTCTTCTCTGCTTGTTTTAACAAGTCTAAAAAAATTATAATAATTGTAAAATAATAAATGTATTAACACACAAACCACTGTTAATTTAACATAAAAGCAAGCAGGCTACTGCGTGCATGGGCATGACTGAATGCGCGCAAAGTGCGCACCCTTAATAAATCCTAAAAGCTGACAGTTCATCGCGATCTCACACATCTCTGTTATTATCAATGAAGCTGACTGCACAATCAATCTTTCATAATATCCACACTTTGTTTGTTATAATTAGAGGATTTGCCAGCATACAGAATTCAGCACTGAACAAAAAAGTCCGTTTTGAGCAGTGAGGGGAGTCTATCTTAAATGCTTCTGATTGGCCATTGCGTTCAAGAAATCAACACATATGTCTGTGATTGGCTACATCGCTCAACGCTGTAACCATGTTATGAATAGAAACTCTGGCCTGTAAATCGTTTCTATTTTGTTGTAGTTGTTCTTGTTGCTTTTCTGCAAGAGATGAATAAAAATCTATTAGTTTTTATGTTTTATTCATAGATATTTCTAGTTTGCGGGAGTCCCGCGAATCGTTTTATTCTCCCGCACCCGCACACACAGAGTGAGTGCATTACCGCCCGCGCGCGCGCTCGTCCATCAGATCTATGATGCGTCTTCAGATGTTTAATTAGATTGCTGGTGTTAAACGATGTACTTTCTTTCCCTCCTCTCGACACCTTAGCTGAACATAACTCACAGTCTGCCTTGCTGTTGTCATCATCCCTTATCTTGAAATGAGCCCTAACCGCCGACATTATAGGCTACTTTCCTATGCCTCAGTTCACCTCGACAAAGCTCTCGCGGCGGCCAGTTTCGTTTTGCAAAATGTACGTGGTATCGGTGCGTGGTATCGGCGAATTTTTATGAGTACGAGTACGAGTATATGAGGACAGTATCGGCCCGATCCCCGATGCCAGTATCGGTATCGGGCCATCCCTACTGTAAAGTTAAGTTAAAGTTAAAAACAATTAAATATAATTCAAAAGTTAAAAACAATTCAATCTTATTCAAAATATTAACAAAAATTATAATAATGAATCAATGGAACTAAAATAAGTCTGGCTACTAGAATACAAAAATGTATATTATAAATATTTCCACTGACCAAATCAACTTTGTTCACTTATTTAATAAGAAATTTCAATATATTTTTTTTTACTATGCTTATCATTGAAGGAATAATAAAAAAAAGCAAATTCTGTCATCACTTGCACTTGTAGCTCTGAGCCCATGTCATTTTCTTTTTTCCGTGGCCCAAGCTACGTGGCTACAAAACATCCAAGCTGCTCCCTTACATAAAACAAAAGTAAAAAAGCAATGCACAACCACCTTTGCATCTCTAACTTGAAATCCCCTTTGCCATAACTGAAATCTTCAAACTTCCCAGTCTTGCCCTGCCTGGTTTGACGTGATTTATGTCAAATGTTATTGGCTGTTGTTGTTCTCATGACCACTTGAAAAGTACTTAAATTGAATGTCCACAACGCTTAAAATATAGTGCCATATGGTGGATTTTTTTGGTCAGTTTTGAAGCTTAACAGCCTCTAGTCTCTACTTTCACTGTATTAAAAAGCAAACAAATGTTTTTTTTAAACTTTGTGTCCCACAGAATACACAAAACCACAGCGGATTGACACAGTGACACAAGGAGGACTAAATGATGAAACTTTTTGTGTGTGTGTGTGCGTTATTTTTTTCTCTCCTAATAAATGTATTAAAAATACATAATCAAAATACTTCCTGTTTCCTATTTCCCTCCAGGCTTTGGCATGACCACTCCCGTCACGGTTGCAGGTAAGATCTTTTTGATATTCTATGGACTCCTTGGCTGTGCAGGAACAATCCTCTTCTTCAACCTGTTCCTGGAGCGCATCATCACGATGTTGGCCTACATCATGCGCTGGTGTCACGAGCGGCAACTGCGGCGCTCCGGCGTGGGAGGAGAGGAGGCCAGGAGCGAGGATGACAGTCTGGAGGGCTGGAAACCATCTGTCTACTACGTAATGCTCATTCTGGGCATCGCAGCCCTGCTGGTTGCATGCTGCGCATCTGCCTTGTACTCTGCCATGGAGGACTGGGACTACTTTGAGTCCTTCTACTTCTGCTTTGTGGCCTTCAGCACCATTGGCTTCGGGGATGTAGTGAGCAGCCAGCGGGAAAGTTATAAAGCTCAGGAGGCCTACCGTCTCGGCAACTGCCTCTTCATCCTCATGGGTGTGTGTTGCATTTATTCCCTGTTCAATGTCATTTCCATCATCATCAAGCAGACGCTCAACTGGATCCTCGGCAAACTGGACTGCAACAGGCCTCAGTGTCCCTGCCGTTGCCGTCCGTACAGGCGTCGAGGTCGGGCCTGCTGTTGCTGCTGCTTCCCGCGCATTGCCAACCAACGGCACAACCACCACCCTCCACCGCGAAATTCCCGGCAGAGGGCTCAAAAACGCAATGCCGTGCACCCTGCCCCGACCAACGAAGCGTCGGGAAAGCGTTTCACTAATGCATCAGTGGAAACAGTTTGTGATAGTGAGACTGACGCTGGCTTAGGACCAGATGGAGGTTATCTGACAGGGCGCAGACTGTCTGGAGAAATGATCTCAGTCAATGACTTTATGACCAACAAGGTTTCTTTGGCAATTTTACAGAAGCAACTCTCAGAGACCGCTCACGGTAACCCAAGACAGAGCCATGTTCGCCAGAACGGCTTCTCTGGTGGAGTGGGCGCCTTTGCTATCATGAATAACCGCCTTCAGGAGACAAGTGTCGACAGGTAGCTCGGTTAGACAAAGATGACGTTGGATATTGCACATCAATTGCATATAAAGATATACAGGATTTAATCATGACTTTCAGTTCAGGGTTGTGTACCATTTAGAACTGAATTAAGACTGGCTTTAAAATTCAAAATTGTAAAATTATTTGAGATTCAAAGAAGTTTATAATGCTAATTTATATATATATATATATATGACTCATTTTTTAACTACAAAAGCATACCGTAGTTTCTTAAAGGGTTATTAGTACACCCAAAAATTTAAATTCTGTTATTTACTCATCCTCGTTTGTTTCAACCACATAAGACTATCGTTCATCTTTGAAACACAAATAAAAATGTTTTTAATGAATATTATTCCAATGTGAACAAAAAAGCCTAAATTAAATCTGTTCATCATATAATGCGATCGTGTCTCTTCAGAAGACTTTGGTTAAACCACTCGATTCATAAGGATTATGTTTACCATGATTTTTATGAACTTTTTAATTCATCAAAGTTTTGGTGACTTTCAATGGAGGAACATACATCTCTCAGGTTTCATTAAACACATCTTCATTTGTGTTTCAAAGATGAATGGACGTCCTTTTGGGTTGGAATGACACAAGAGTGAGTAATGACAAAATATTCTTTCTTTTTTTTGGTGAACTAACTCTTGACAAACATTGACTAGATAGACAGACAGAAACATAGATAGATAGATAGATAGATAGATAGATAGATAGATAGATAGATAGATAGATAGATAGATAGATAGATAGATAGATATTTGAATGCCACCTATAGAAATTGTAATCTAAATAGTATTTAATTTATATATTTTAACATATTTAGTAAACCATTGAGGACTATTGAGGAAATATTGAAAGACACTTAATTTCCCAAAATTAATTTGCTGTTGAATTTCTTTGATTTGAATTCCAAACCAAATTCCAGTTCAACTTCCTATGGAATTTTGGATAATTCAATTATAATTCACACACTGACTAAAGGACAGACAATTTTTCAGTTCTGAATTTTTCCCAACCCTGATCTCGTAGCCTACTGTTCGCTGGGAAATAATTTCTCAGAGGTTTAAGCATTTATTGCATGCAATTAAAGACGTAAATTGTACATTTAGCCTACTATTGTAATATAAAGTACAGAGAAAATTACATCAAATTAAAATAGCCAATTACCAATGTATCACAAGGACGGTGAATGTAAGCATTCATGAATGGCTTAGTTCTTAAGAGGAGACGGCTTTCAATTTAAAAAAAAAAATCATTATAAACAAATGTGATTTTAATGGTTAACATCACTTCTCAGAGTCACTTTGATGCTGAAGTGATTGGCCGGTGTGGTGAGCAATCACACTGTGCTTCTGGAGAGATACTTTAACGGCTCTTCACGAAAACAGACTGATTTTCAAGAGCCAGGCAGATGAAGCCACGGCACTTACAGAGAGACAGTCCCCGGAGGAAGAAATACAAGTGTCAAATCAAAGGGAGATGGTCAGTATTATTCATTGTTTGATCGTTTCTATCAAGCCGCCGTGTCCTAAGAAATAAATGATCTAAAATGAATACAATTATGTGCAAATAGACTTTTAGCAAAATGGATATAATGCGAATGTATCGTCAGTATTTTAAAAGACAAAGTCATCTCAATAATTTTTTGGTTGTAGATAGACTGTATAGATTCTGTAGATATTGTATATTGTAAAGGCAATTTTTACTGCTTTGTTGAATATTTATTTTGGTATCAACATTTGTGTTTCAAAAGAAATAACTACTCACACTTTTTACATCTGTGTTACAGCAGCCTCTTGTCATTCATAGAGGTTTATTTATTAAAAAAATATCTCTTTCTGAGTGACAGACAGCAACTGTTGGTATGGCAAGCCGTTTCGACTTTTATTCTTTCTCAGGATATGAATTCATGATATCAACAATTCAGTTTTCAGTAGTTAAAATGCTAATTCTTGACATCAGAAATTGGATTACTAGTAGCCTAACAATGGCAATTTTTGATATCAGGAATTACATTTCAACTAGTAAAACACTATACAGGTCCTTCTTAAAAAATTAGCATATTGTGATAAAGTTCATTATTTTCCATAATGTAATGATACAAATTAAACTTTCATATATTTTAGATTCATTGCACACCAACTGAAATATTTCAGGTCTTTTATTGTTTTAATACTGATGATTTTGGCATACAGCTCATGAAAACCCAAAATTCCTATCTAAAAAAATTAGCATATTTCATCCGACCAATAAAAGTGTTTTTAATACAAAAAAAGTTAACCTTCAAATAATTATGTTCAGTTATGCACTCAATACTTGGTCGGGAATCCTTTTGCAGAAATGACTGCTTCAATGCGGTGTGGCATGGAGGCAATCAGCCTGTGGCACTGCTGAGGTGTTATGGAGGCCCAGGATGCTTCGATAGCGCCCTTAAGCTCATCCAGAGTGTTGGGTCTTGCGTCTCTCAACTTTCTCTTCACAATATCCCACAGATTCTCTATGGGGTTCAGGTCTGGAGAGCTGGCAGGCCAATTGAGCACAGTAATACCATGGTCAGTAAACCATTTACCAGTGGTTTTGGCACTGTGAGCAGGTGCCAGGTCGTGCTGAAAAATGAAATCAGATGGAAGCATGAAGTGCTCCAAAATCTCCTGATAGCTGCATTGACCCTGCCCTTGATAAAATACATTGGACCAACACCAGCAGCTGACATGGCACCCCAGACCATCACTGACTGTGGGTACTTGACACTGGACTTCAGGCATTTTGGCATTTCCTTCTCCCCAGTCTTCCTCCAGACTCTGGCACCTTGATTTCCGAATGACATGCAAAACTGAGCAACAGTCCAGTGCTGCTTCTCTGTAGCCCAGGTCAGGCGCTTCTGCCGCTGTTTCTGGTTCAAAAGTGGCTTGACCTGGGGAATGCGGCACCTGTAGCCCATTTCCTGCACACGCCTGTGCACGGTGGCTCTGGATGTTTCTACTCCAGACTCAGTCCACTGCTTCTGCAGGTCCCCCAAGGTCTGCAATCGGTCCTTCTCCACAATCTTCCCCAGGGTCCGGTCACCTCTTCTCGTTGTGCAGCGTTTTTTGCCACACTTTTTCCTTCCCACAGACTTCCCACTGAGGTGCCTTGATACAGCACTCTGGGAACAGCCTATTTGTTCAGAAATTTCTTTCTGTCTTACCCTCTTGCTTGAGGGTGTCAATGATGGCCTTCTGGACAGCAGTCAGGTCGGCAGTCTTACCCATGATTGCGGTTTTGAGTAATGAAACAGGCTGGGAGTTTTTAAAAGCCTCAGGAATCTTTTGCAGGTGTTTAGAGTTAATTAGTTGATTCAGATGATTAGCTTAATAGCTCGTTTAGAGACCCTTTTCATGATATGCTAATTTTTTGAGATAGGAATTTGGGGTTTTCATGAGCTGTATGCCAAAATCATCAGTATTAAAACAATAAAAGACCTGAAATATTTCAGTTGGTGTGCAATGAATCTAAAATATATGAAAGTTTAATTTTTTTCATTACATGAAAATAATGAACTTTATCACAATATGCTAATTTTTTGAGAAGGACCTGTAATTCTTGATATCTGTAATTGCATATTCACTAGTTAAATGTCACCATATAGGCTGTCATTCAAATTCAATGGTTGATATCAAAAATTGTTTTTATGAGTTGAAATTCCAATTTCACATATCAGAAATACAATTCTTACTAGTTAAAATCATAGTTTTTTATATCAATAATTACGTAGTTACTAGTGTGAATGTGAATATAAATTCCTAATATCAAGAACTCAACATGTTGTTACATTTGTTATTTCTGATATCTGAAAATATATTTCTGATATCAATAATCAGGAGAGTAATTTCAGATAGCCTATCTAAAATGGCTTTCTACTAGTAACAACCACATTTATGATATCAGAAATTAACATTGTCACTAGTGACAATAAAATGATTGATTTAATTTTATTTATTTTTTTACTAGTAGCGTTTCCTGTGGTGACATTTAAGTAGTGAAAATACAATTGCAGATATCAGTTGATGATGTCATTGTTGATATCAAGAATGAACATTTTTACTAGTGGAAATGTAATTCCTGATATCAAAAATTATGGCAAGCCGTTTTAGCTTAAATTGTACCCAGCGATACTCGTCGTAATTGCATCTTTAGTAAGAATTCATTTAGAAAGCTCTACAATTCAATTCTTACTAGTAGCAATTACAATTAGAGAGCTCTCTAATTCAGTTGTTACTAGTAAGAATGCAATTGCAGAGCTCTTTAATTCAATTACAGAGCTCTGCAATTATACATATCTTTAATTTGTTTTTTTACTAGTAAAAATTAAATTAGAGAGCTCTGTAATTGCATTCTTACTAGTAACAATTCAATTGTAGAGCTTTCTAATTGTAATTCTTACTAGTAAAAATTCAATTGTAGTTTAATATTCAATATTCAATTTATGGAGCTCTACAATTGAATTTTTACTAGTTATTCTTACTAGTAAAAATTAAATTGTAGAGCTCCATAATTAAAAATGAATGGAAGTCAATGGAGACATATGACTAGTAAAAATTAATTTGTAGAGCTCTCTAATTGGAATTGTTACTAAGAATTGAATTAGAGAGCTCTGTAATTGTAATTCTTACTAGTAATAATTGAATTAGAGAGCTCTCTAAATGGGTATTGCTACTAGTAAGAATTTAATTATAGAGCTCTCTAATTTAATTCTTACTAGTAAAAATGCAAGCTTGCCATAAAAAATATCCATTGTTACTAGTAGAAATCTAATTCCTGATATCAAGAATTAGCATTTTAATTACTGAAAACTGAATTGTTGATATCAAGATTTCATATCCTGGGAATGAATAAAAGTCAAAACGGCTTGCCATGCTGGGTTTGCCGTCTCACAGTCCGAGTGTGTTAAATGAGGAGCGAGTCTCTACTGCTCCCCTGAGGATGACAGTGGTGTACTATTAGAAAAAAAGGTTCAATGCAGTTTTGTTTTACATAGAACCCTATAGGGGTTTTAACTCAATTTTAAAGAACACTTTATGCCAAGTAATATTATGGAGAAATGTCTTAACCTGTTAAACATGAAAGTATTATGCAATCATTTTTTTTCTGACAAGCTTTTTAGTTCATAAAATGTTATTCAAATTAAAAATGAATTCATTAAAACGAAATCCGTAAAATGATCCCACGATGGGAACCCCTAAAAGGGTTTATATATGAAGTGCCTGACCAAACCCTTTAAGTTTCTATATAGAACCTTTTCTTCTAAGACTGCTTACTGATATTGTAACTCCTGTGCTGAAATCTGAGATCAACCACACACACACTCACAAAATGTATGACTAATTACCATAAAGCCATCTGGTTATGTAGCAGGACAGACATTAATAAACAGAAATACCATGAATGACTTGATCTGTTTATTATCTTTTTTTCTCTCAACCTTTATGCTAGCACAAATATTGCACAAGATCTGTAAAATGTGCACAAAAATGATCACACAACATGATACAGCACTGCATCAGTTCATTTGCTAGTCATTAGGAAAATCTCAGTAATATGAACACGTTGGCATAATTTCAAAGAGGTCAGTAAGGCAACACAGTACAGATCATGCAAACAGAGTAGAGAGTTTTACAGGAAACAACTATTCAAAAACAGAAAAATTGCACTCTATGACTATATTATGGGCTTGTATATACTCCAAAATGTAAAAGTGGTTGTTTGAATTTTATTTGATAGAATTTGTTTCTTAAAATCTCATCATTTCACGTTTGCCTTATTTGAATTCTTAAAGGAATAGTTTACACAAAAATGAAAATATTGCCATTATTTACTCAAGATCATGTTACTCCGAACCTGTATGCTGTATGCAGACTGAAGAGAATCTTAAACGTTTGTCATCACTGCTTAAACACATTACCTGAGTATTGTTGATTGTAAGACTCATTGAATACATTTGGTAAGGAAAATACTGAACGTATCACAATCTAAAGAGTCAAAGTTATATACAGTCATCATTGTCCTGCATTGTGGAACAGCATTACTTTTTGTAAGTTTGTCATTCAAGAAACATACAAAAAGAAGGAAGTAAAATTTGTGTTGCTGTCCAAAAAGAAGATCCTTTCCATTTTTCATGAGTTTAAAAGACAGAAAACGGATCAGCTTTACTTCTTCCTCAATCTAGCACACCCATTAAGCATTTATAAAACACAGACTCTAATTGGCATCTGTAGGATGGAATTCCTGAAAAGATATGGATTTCAGATTAAAAATGCTTAGATATTAAATTTAGCATACAGGAATGACAAATACATTAGTCATTTTAACATGTTATTGTTACATATCAAATAGATTTAGTATCTCCACAGAAGCTTACCTGGGCTAATCTTGATCGCCGTGCCTCTTTCTGATAATAGTAGGCCGAAATTATACAGTTCCGCCTGCAAATGTCCAAAAAAGTATGTTATTTCAAAGTTCAGTCCTCTGTTCTTTTGTCAGTCATCCCACCTACACATCATTTGAGCTCTACTTGTGGAGTTGATTGGTGCTCTGGTGCCTGTACTGAGTAGACATTTGAATCTGAGAACATGGACATTGCTCTGCAGCACAAGGGTATATATGTCATCCTTGCAGCTTTAATCTCATAATTATATACTGTACCATGTGTCACTTACATGAAATAGTAACATTTGATGAAGTGCAATAAACTTGTCCCCCCTACTAAAACAGTTAAGCATTTTGAAAGAATAGATTTTTATTAACTTTATTAATTTTGTGAAATGGTTCTCTCATTCACTTGATCCAACACTTTTATATAAATTATTATTATTAATAATAATAAAAAACTATTAAAATAAATTATTCAATTATTATATTAAATATACACTCGCCGGCCACTTTATTAAAGCTGCAGTCCGCAGTTTTTCCTCTTTGTCGCCATCTCTGTTCGAAATCTGCAATTGCAGTCATTCGCGGAATTATCAACTTTACGTGAGTTGTACTTCAACACCCTCGACACGGCACAGCACGGAAGAACACAATGTTTGAGGAGACTGTGAAGCTGTCAGTCACCGCACCGATGTGGATACTGGCATTCAGAATCACAGATTATTCTTTTTGGAAGTATGACCAACATAAGAATTTTCACTGGAAAATGTCATCTGAACAAGTAACATCCACTTTTGTTCTGGTTCTGACAATCGCGCTGATTAAATCTAACAATCGCTTATAAGTTATCATATCACGCAAAACCGGGCAAATTATACTTTGTTCTCAAATTGTTGATGTTAACAACTTCAGCATTGCGTGACTACATGTAATGTCCTTCCGATATGTAGTTTTCGCTAGAGTCCAGTTGCAGTCTCTTTTTTTCTGTAGCCACTCCGAAGTCCGAACGAAGTCTTTTGCATTTTACAGCGGGTGAATCTCCAGTTGTCACTGGTGATTGTCGTTTGAACCTTTCTGGATCCGCCATCAAATTGATAAGTTTAATTATATCAAGTGCTGTGAGAAAAGGCAATAAATCTCCACCTCCAACATCCTCACTCGCAATATAGCCGACTAGCCGAGACTCCTTTATGTACAGATGTGACGTAATGATGCAAAGATGTGCTCAAATCTCCCGCGGAAATCCACCAGTACCACTGGAATTAAAAACATTATTACAAGAAAGCTATGGACTGCAGCTTTAAGTACACCCATTCAATTGCACATTAACGCAAATGTCGAATCAGCCAGTCACATGGGAGCAACTCAATTTATTTAGGCATGGTCGATACGATCTGCTGAAGTTCAAACTGAGCATCAAAATGGGGAAGAAAGATGATTTAAGGGACTTTGACCATGACATGGTTTTTGGTGCCAGAAGGGCTGGTCTGAGTATTTTAGAAACTGCTGATGTACTGGGATTTTCATACACAACAATCTCTAGGGTTTACAGAGAATTGTTCAAAAAAGAAAAAAATATCTGGTGATTGGCAGGTCTATGGGCGAAAACGGGAGATTCGCATCATGGATATGACGTCGACAAATCTGCAGCAACTGCGTGATGATATCATGTCAATATGGACCAACATCTCTGAGGAATGTTTTCAGCAAATTGTTGAAAGATTTGAGTCCGTTCTGAGCGCAAAAGTGGGTCCAACCGGGTACTAGCAATGTGTAGCTAATAAAGTGACTGGTGAGTGTAAATCATAATAAATAAATAAATAAATAAATATCAGTTATTATAATAACTTTAATTATAATATTATAAACAAAAGCAATTTAAAAATGGAAGAAAGATTAAAAAGAATGCTAATCGAAAGCTTAGCTTATAGATCTCGAATAGAAACCATTTAAAGGTTCTTAAAGAAGTGAATGTTGCAGTCTGTGAAATAGGTTTTTACACTTCTCACTCATCACTGCTGTGCTGACTGCAGTTTTAAGCAGCAGTAAAGCATTATATAAAACACAAACTCACTTGCTCTGAAGGCCGCCCCCTGGTGGAAGTCCAGGTATCACTGCTGAAGCCAGAACTGTCAGAACTGACAGCAGATCAGGCTCATCGCCTCTTGCACTCAGCTCTTCAAATATCTCTGCCAAAGAAACATGCATGACAATGGTTAAATTACGTAAGCAGACCACTAGAGGACCATTTATTCTAATCATTACATGAATCCAAGATTTGAAAGGATTTTCATATGTGATGAAAATCATATAAATCATAAAAGCAACATCAAAAGAAGCCAGATGATTTACCAGCTACTTTGGACTCCAGAAAGTCCTCCAGCTCGGCCTCCTGGTGCAGTGCTTCAGGTGACAGCTGGGGGGCGCCAGGGAAACAGACTAGAATGATGCTGATGTTATCAAGACTCCCCTGTTAGCAAACACATGAAGAGACATCAAAAAAAAAGAAAACAAAGGAAATGTAAGATGTGCATTTAATGTGTCCGCCATTCGATTTCATTGCTAAACTGAGCAGCATTGTTTTCCTCTGATGTTTCTTTAGATAAGGCAGGCACTAGCATGACGCTCGCCAGTCTTGAGGCTTTTGTTTCAAGGACAACTTCCTCACATTTGATGATTAAGTAGATTGGAATTGGTGATGCTAATGCAGACCTTATCCTTCATTTCTTAGGGATGATGTCGGTTGTCTATCCCTACATGGCACAACGCTGGGCAGAATGCTGTAATCTCCTAACACCAAGGCTAAAAGTAGTTTATCCTATTGCAGCTTAGCAGCGGAATACAGCGGCCTCACTTTGAAATGGTGGATGAAAGCGCAGACCTGACAAAGCAGAGATCTGGCTCACTGCGGAGAGAAAGATGCTGACATTTTCAGGTCGGCACACATCCTTTTCTGCAGCCTAAAGACCATTCTGTGTTTCTCTTATGTAATACAACAGCCTGGCTGAAGTCAGCTTGAGATGCCATAGCCAACAGACTTCATATTATAAAATATACTTCATGTGTACAATCCTAAAATACATTTTGGGTAATTGATTTTGGAAAATATATGTACAGAATATACATTTAAATATTAAACATGTCCAAACATTTGAGGAAATATAAGCAACTAAAACTTGTATATAATGTATATAAATAACTTCTATATAAATGATAAATTTGTATAACAAAATATATCTGAAAATACATTTTCAGACACATTTCTGAAAGCTGCTTGTCTCTGAAACTTTGGAGAGCAGTTTGCATGTGGAATTGCATCTTTTGCGAGAGTTGGTCTATGCATGTAAAGTTTTGGTGGTAAATCCAATGCAAAACATGAACAAAGAAGTGAAGCTGCCATTTTCTCACCCACTAGTTCTCCTGCATGAGTGTGAGGAGAAATCAAACTCCGTTTTGGACCCCACAATCGAAATCAGTGAGAACTGCCAAAAACTCTTCCATTCATACTAACCTTATAGAGGCAGAGGTCGATGACCTGGGAGCAGACCTCTCTCAGGTCTGTGCAGACACGCAGTCGGCTGTGTACGAAGGCACAGAGCTCTTCATTACTGACAGTGTCCCACACACCATCGCAGGCCAGAACCAGAAACTCATCTGCTGGCGAGCGCTCCACAGCCGACACTTCCGGCTCGGGCGAGACCATCTGTTCTGTGACCGGCCGCCACTCGGTTGTCTTGTAACTGAAGTCGCCCAATGCCCGAGAGACTGCCAGCGAGCCATTCACTCGCTGCAAAGTCACAGATCCTCCAGCGCTCTCTATCCTCTCCCTCTCACCAGGGCTGAAGGGCTTGTGGTCCTCTGTAGAGAAGGCAACCCGCCCAGCACGGCACAAGACGGCCCGAGAGTCTCCGCAGTTCACAAAGTAGATGTGGTGCGGGGTGATAGCAGTGGAAACGACAGTGGTCCCTCCACGTTCCCAACCCTCACGGCAGGCCATGGCATGAAGGTGCTTGTCCATGAGAAAAAAGCCCTCCTTGATACCCTCAGTGACCCTTTCCACATCCTCATCTGCTCGGATCTTGCCTGAAAAGAAAAAGCTTGTGTCACTAAATCACAAAGACGAATCTAAAGGCTTCATTAGTAAACATTGCAACAAGCAGCCATTAAGTGACTTCTAATTGCTTTTCCTACATTAGGAACATGTTGTCCACTAAAATTAACTGATCAGATCATGGCTTAATTAAGTAATAATATTGATGTGGCTTTGGATGTACAGTATGTTTAAAAATTAATCCAATCGGAGGAGATCCTCTCAGATCTATTCTAAAGAGATCAACAACAACCAATGTGATGTGATGATCAAATGGGAATTCTGTTTCTCAACAAAATCCTCCCAGTCGTTACGTTTGCTGTGCTCTCAAATAACTGATGATGTACTGTCATCAGTAGAAGCCAAAGAGGTACAAGAAGTCCTTCCCTTTTTTTAGAACAGCTTGTCGCTCACCTGTGCCCAAGATGTGGTCCAGCAGGTTCCGGGAGCAGTGTTGGGCCACCGCGCTCCCTGCGTGTCCATCGAACACGGCGAAGAACCCCCAATGGGACAGTTCCCCTCCTAGCTGAGGGAAGCAGTTGTGGAAATCCTCCATGTGGGCCCTCCAACCCTGCATGCTGGCCAGGGCGTAGGTAAGTCCCCAGGAGGCACATCCCTCTTGCATGTGCTTGTCCAGAACCGGTCGATCTAAGTAGGGGCTAGGGATGACCCCTTCCTCCTCTCCTCCCTCTTCGCCTTCGGACAGCTCCCCCGCACCTCCCCCTCGCCCCCCTTTAAAAAAGGAGGTGACCCTTTTCTCGGTTTCCTTCACCAGCTGCCTTACAAAAGCAGGCATTTCCACGCTTCCTTTCCTGGATGTCCTCATGTTGTCTTTTTTTTCTACACTCGTTTGAATCCGTTCACGGCCTCCACCCAGTGCTGTTGCTCACTGGCTTTGGTTTGGCTGTGTGCAGCCTTTCTTCTCAGGGCCTTCACAGCATTATCTCCCAAGAGGCTGATTCTGCACCTTCAAGCATCCTTGAATGATCCACTGTAGAACGGCTGATTTCCCCTTCTGTCACTCTACCCATTACTAGACATTCTCACTATGATCTAATCTATCTGTAGGCATAGTTGCTCTTCCCAATTTGATCCACTTTTGTTGCCTTCCTCCTCTGTATGTCAGTGATATTCTCTCTCTCTAAGCTTTCTTTCTCTCTGAGCCTGTTATTTTCCTGTCATCACTCTGATTGGCTGAGCTATTTCTGTGTACCAATCATCTCGCAGTGTCCTCCCTCTTGTTGTACACACCAACATGCAATCCTTTTGCAGAGTGGCTCTCTTTTTCACATGTTCAGTGCCTCTCTCCCTCCCTCCCTCCGCCTCTCCTCTCTCCCTCCCTCTGTTAATCATCTGTGCTGAACATTTGATAATTGTGGATTATCTAACATGCACAGATTAATGTGAATAACAGATTTTCACAGTAGCCCAGTTAGAGAGAAAGACAGAGAGCGAGAGAGGGAGAGAGATAAAAAGAGAGCACACAGTAGCCTCTTTTTAAAAATGTTATGTGGGGTAGATTCAGTGATTCATATTAAAGAACATGGTTTGCCTTGAGCAGAATTCATGAACGGCATATTCAAACATGAATTTAGGAGACTCTTACAAGGGATGATTTGGACAGATTAGTGGATTATGTTAATTTAAAAATGCATTCAAACACAATATTACATAACAGGCTATTTTTGTCTTTGTAACTCTTCTTGTGTGTCCATGGAATGACGCAAATAAACAGATGTCACGAATAAATGTGTTTGACAGCAGAACGATCACTGCTGCATCAGATGCTGGTAGTACTGAGTCATCTGCTGGGTCAAGTAATATGAGAGGGATTTTTTAGGATTTTTAACACTTTTAAACAGAAAGCAGTAATGGCACAATGAAGAACTAATAAAAATAAATATAATAGTAGTAGTGGCAGTAGTATTGATTATTAGGGGTGTAACAATTGTGTCACAATATATCGCAATACAAAAATGACAAAATGTATTGCGCATGTGTATGATTCACCCAAAATTAAAATTTCTGTGAGAAATAAATTAAAGTTTAAAGAGTTTCAGTGTCAGTACTACATTAAACTACAATAGGCTATATAATGTTGAATATAATGTATAATTCAATGGGGGAATATTTGTGGGTCCTGATTATGCCAAATGTCTTATGTTACCAGTAATAAGTAGCCTACATTATTTTAAATATATCTAGCCAGTGACAGAGTGCAGGAATTTTCATCTAAAATAATTCTGTATTTTCAGCTTCAGAATCATGAATATTTTTATTCTGGTGTCACCTGTACTTTGGGTTACCAGCACCAAGTCCAAGCCTATTCATTTCCACCCAAACCAAATTTAGCAGGTATTGGAGTATCGCAATAATACTGTATTATGTGAGTTCAGTATCGTGATATGTATTGAATCGTGACATGAGGTTATCGTTACACCCCTATTGATTATAAAGTAATAATTAAATTAAATTATATATATATATATATTATTTTATTATTATTTATATTATAATTTATTAAATCTTTATCATAATACTATTATTAATATAAAATTGAATATAACTAGTGCAATGCCCGTGCAAAATCAGTTTTTGTGTGTTTTTAGTAATTGTTGGTTTGGTATGTTTGAGTTGCTGAATAGCCTAAGCTACTATTACACAGGAGCCTAAACTCTGAGAAAACGATAACGTTAAGCGCACCAGAATAAAATATAATATTCAGAATTAAACAGTGTAGCTGACTTAAATTGCTACTTTTTTCAAAAATGAATCGATACTTTTTTCAAAAATGAATCGCTACTTTTTCAAAAAAGAATCGCTACTTTTTTCGAAAGTGAATTGCTACTTTTTTGAAAGTGAATCGATACTTTTACAAAAATGAATCGCTACTTTTTCAAAAATGAATCGCTACTTTTTCAAAAGTGAATCGCTACTTTTTCAAAAAAGAATAGCTACTTTTTCGAAAGTGAATTGCAACTTTTTCAAAAATGAATCGATACTTTATCAAAAATGAATTGCTACTTTTTCAAAAGTGAATCGATACTTTTTCAAAAAGAATCAATACTTTTTCAAAAAAAGAATCGCTACTTTTTCAAAAGTGAATCGATACTTTTTCAAAAGTGAATCGATACTTTTTCGAAAGTGAATCGCTACTTTTTCAAAAAAGAATCGCTACTTTTTCAAAAAAGAATCGATACTTTTTCAAAAAAGAATCGATACTTTTTCAAAAAAGAATCGGTACTTTTTCAAGTGAATCGATACTTTTTCAAAAAACAGTATACTTTTTAAACTATGTATAGTTACATTGTAATAAACATATTTACATTGTAATAAACCTATAATTACATTATAAAAATGTATAATTACATTGTAATAAACGTATAATTATCTTGTAATTAATGTATAATTACATTGTAATAAATTAATAATTACATTGTAATAAATATATAATAACACTGTAATAAATGTATAATTACATTGTAATAAACATATAATTACATTGTATTAAATGTATAATTACATTTTTACGCTACTTTTCAAAAAAGAATCGCTACTTTTTCGAAAATGAATCGCTACTTTTTCAAAAAAGAATCGCTACTTTTTCAAAAAAAGAATTGCTACTTTTTCGAAAGTGAATCGCTACTTTTTCAAAAGTGAATCGATACTTTTTCGAAAGTGAATCGCTACTTTTTCAAAAATGAATCGCTACTTTTTCAAAAATGAATCGCTACTTTTTCAAAATTGAATCGCTACTTTTTAAAAAGTGAATCGATACTTTTTCAAAAAAGAATCAATACTTTTTCAAGTGAATCGATACTTTTTCAAAAAAAAGAATCGCTACGTTTCCAAAAATGAATCGATACTTTTTGAAAGCGAATCACTACTTTTTCAAAAATGAATCGCTACTTTTTAAAAAAGAATCGCTACTTTTTCAAAAAAGAATCGCTACTTTTCGAAAGTTAATCGCTACTTTTTCAAAAGTGAATTGCTACTTTTTCAAAAAAGAATCGCTACTTTTCGAAAGTGAATCACTACTTTTTCAAAAATGAATAGCTACTTTTTCAAAAATTAATGATACTTTTTCAAAAAAGAATCGATACTTTTTCATAAATGAATCGATACTTTTTTGCATTTAATACTATAAAACTTGAAGAGACTGTAGGTTATCTGTATAGGTTGCATAGTATTTGCAGTCATTACGTTCCTGTATATTGCGTGAATGACGGGTGGTTGGGCAGATATTGTGTTGCGGTAGGTAGTATGCCATACGGAACCGTTGTCCACTGAAAATGGAAGCTCTAGCGTTAAGTTCTGCCAGGAAGACTCAATTGCTGCGTCACTTATTACCTTCTCATCTATCCAATCGTGTCTAAGACTTGTGGTATAAAAGACCAGTACTTACACATGTCTGAGTTCGCAGATGCTGACGCTTTCATGCAGCTCTCGTTCAGTCGCCAGCCAACATGTTTCAGGACACGCATATTGTTCTATTATTGAGTTCCGACGATGGATATGTCCCGCCGTATCTCCTGCTACACGTCGAGGTTCCCGCGTTCAGTGCCGCATCTCCCCGTATGCACAGTGGTCTTCGGAGAGTTTTTGATGATCAGCCAAGGCCTCTCATGAGAAGTTCTGCTCTCTAGGCCTAAAACACCCTGGGTAACCAATCAGTTTCCATTTTCACGTCATCAAACGCCTCAACAGCGTCAGCTCAGTCAGGATAATCCGGCAGGAAGAGAACTATGTCATTCTCAACAACTTGTCCAGCAAAAGAACCTCGCTGTCTGCACGGGTGCATTATCCAGCAGATCACCGATCCACCGACATGAATCAACAACTCTGCAAATCACGAGAGGCGATCTTCTCTCGCTGGTTCAAGTTCAAGCTCCACTTCCAAGGCTTTCAAGTCGGTTTTTCAAGTTTGGTAGGCGCTTCCACCAGCCACCGTTAATATGTCCCCTCTATCATGATTAAACTTCATCCAGGTAAGTATTTCTCCGTTGCTTCCTACACCAGCGGCAGAGTTCAAATTGGTGTCCACGGTGACGTGGCGTTCGTGTTCATAATTACTAACGTTACTGATCTGCAGACTGCAATGGGGCCGGTTAGCTCGCCTTAAAGGGGAAATGTTCATAGCAAGTGTAAGCAAGTTTCGCGTCACCGCCACTGTACAGTGATCTAATAATATCAGCGTTGTCAAAACACCCGCAATGTTGGAAACTGCACAATGTATTATTTTTACAATGGAGATGAACGTTCCTGTAAACTGTGCAATTGTTGAGAAAAAAAAAAAATATATATATATATAATATATATATCAGCGTTGTCGATACCACGCTCTCGTGGGCAGTTTGCAAATACCCACTAACAACTGAGTAACTGATTTAAAAAAAAAAAAAAAAAAAAAACCTGACCTAAAGAGGGCAAGTTGTTCATTTGGCTGTCATGCATTCTGTAGTGGATATCTCTACAATGGCAGTTAATTACATACTTACATAAGTGTTGTAATTTCACAAACAACTATTTTCAACATATTTAGGCCTACTTTAAAATCATATTATAAGTCCCTTAATGAAAATTAATCTACAATATTGGAAATGTGTACAATTGCTGTAATATTTAACCTTCCTGCTGTCTACTTAATCCACTGATATGTGTGATAGAAATATTTTATGTGATTGCATTTTCCTGTACATTAATGTGGAAATACCCGACTAAGGATGCTCCTGTCAAAGGCCACATATCCTTAGCAAAAACTGCTAACTCAGTAGAATTAACAGTCATATTAGTTGTATCAAGTCAAACCAATCAACAGAACTAATCTGTGAAGGAGATTCGAGTGGCATCGTCTTTGCTCAACTGTTTGATTTACATGCTCATGTATCTTTCTATTCAAGAGTCTCAACTGTTGTTGTGGCCAGCGATCTCCCAGCCATGAATGGGGCTATGTCTGCAAGAGCAACTTGGGAGCCATGTCAGGCATATGCTGCGCATCTGAGAAAAGGATTCTACGCTCAAAAAAAAAAAAAAAAAAAAAAAACAGATCAAGTATCATTTAGGTAATGATAGTAGCTTCTTGACAGGACGCCGTCACCTTACTTCAGGTAAGTACCGTATTATGAAGTCAGATTTAGCCGATAAAAAAAAAAAAAAAAAAAAAAAAAAAAAAAAAAAAACCCATACTAGACAAAGGGTGCATGTCCAATCTCAGATTCGGATATCTAGGTCAGTAAAGGCTAGATGAATCTTCTAAGCTCACTCAAGGTTCGTCCGCTCTTCACAAAATCATCCTATAGCGGTCGTTAGGGTCCTTAGGGATTTGACGTGGTCGCAAAATATGTTATATCGTTGTGCTACAAAGCATGGTTGTCATCAAGGCAGATCTTATTGTTAGGCGATCATGCCATTCCTGAGACGTTAATTTGGCTATCA